AGTTTATAAAGCTGAAATGAAATATGATAAGATCAACTTTTATGTGGGCTCTCACAGAAAACCGTTGGAAATCATGCTTCTACCACCACCAAAAGGAAAATGAGGAAATATCAAATATAGTAACAGCATTCTCCTCTCTGAATTTTTCTGGAAACTGAAAAGTAAGAATAAAAACCCAACCTGGTAATCCATAGCAAAATCTAAACCCTTTAGCAGAAAAGGCAACAGATGTAACTTATATCTTTCTGAAAAATTGATGATCCTAAAATCCAAATCTCTTAAACAAAAACAACTGAGTTAATGAGCACCTGCCTATCTAGAACCAAACTTCTATTCAAACACATTGACCCAGATTAATGCAGTGTAGCCAGACCTGGGAACCACAAATACTAGTATTGATATTATTTATTTACATTTGTGACACTATTTAGCTATGGTAATTGGATAACTAATTAAGCATGGAAATTAAAAACGAAAAATACTTAAGGCGAGAAAAAACTATAATGAAAGATATACTGAGCAACGTTATTTTTTTTTTAACAGAAGAAAAATGGGTAAAGATTTTATTTTCATTTACGAAGAAAGGTATTTTTTTTCGCAGAAGATAGAAAATTCATAAGGTATCAGATTCTGTCAGAATTAATTTATGCCATGACACGACAAGGAAAACAGAATACGGGTAAAGATAACAATCTGCCCATGGCAATAATGAAAATTTCAATTCAGTCAAGAGGCATACAAAGCAGAGTTCTAGAAGATAATCGAAACTGGGTCAAGCATGCAACTGAGAAAGAATTAGGTGAGACCACTCCCGCTAAAAAAAAAGAGAAAAGAAAAATAATAAGCCATTAACTATCTTTCAGAGATATCATTTGGTTTTGGAAGGAGACCCATCTGTTGTATGTCTGGATCTTGTCATGATAAAAGTGCCAAGAGAAACAGAAACGAAAAAAAATTAACCAAAAAAAAAGGCCGACGAAGGAAATCATTATTGTTACATGGACAAGCTGTTGGCGACAGAATGCGATGATGTTGAGAAAGACAAAGAGATTTAGTCGACCACCCAGTTAATGAGTCGGCAAAAATCCCATTAATGAATTCCAGATGACCCCAAGTTAAGATAAAAATTTAATGTCCACAATACGATTCATAAGAATTCTGGCCGATGGAAAAGAAAGAAAGAAAAGGGAAGATAATTTTTTTCTTTGAGTGATAGTTGTAAACTGAGGCCATTCTGGCCACACCCACACTGGCGAGCATTCATTGGCTGAGTGGTGGGTGGCATGGGTGATGGGTGAAGGTAAACATATGAGAAAGAAGGGAAACCTATTGACGCCCTCTGAGGGGATTAGTGTGAGATACCAAGGAAAAATTTGGGAGGACAGCTCCCTTACGAATCCCAACCACAGATAGGGGGAGAACCCCTCTAAAACAGAAAGTAATTGATTTCCAAAAAATGGGAAGTGATAAATTTTCCTGTCCAAAAACAAAGAAAATACTTATTGCGGATTTGAATTATCGAGGAACCCAAACCACGACAGGACCCCCAGCCCACCCGGTTTTGGTTGGCATCGATATAAACGAACGTCCCCAGAGTTAGAGTTAGAGTTGCAGTTGAGTTAGAGATCGGAGACCAGCCCTGCAGGAGCTGACTGAAAGATTTCCACGCATTCCGATTTAGACTTCTAACCTAAAACAATTTTTTTTTTGAAGAACGAATATCGCCTGAAGATACCAAAATGTAGTGAAAAACAACTTAAGTTATTAAGCCTCACCTAAGAAATGCAAAGTGTCACAAATCCATAGAAGCCGTTTGGGAGAAAGACGCAGTTCTGTATTCAGCAAACAGATATAAAGATACTTGTTATTTTTTTTTTCAACACATTTGAATCTTTTGAGTTGTTACATTATTTTCTTTTACATACACTTGTGTGGTATCACCTTTGCTCCGGATTCAGCTTGCACCACAGCCCGACACCCAATTGATTTAGTCTACCTAAGATCAAATCACAACATGGGTAGGTTAGACTAGAAATCAAAGCAGTTACTTCGGTAACCAGACGTTGGAGACTAGCTGGGAACGGCAAGGCTGATATCGAATCTAACCAGGCATCGACCGCGACCAAGACAACCAGAAGAGTTAGTGTCACACATGGTTCCGTGGTAAACCAGATTTCCATCCGAACCAGCCAAGGGTTAGATCGTCACAGGATAGCACAGGAGCAGAGACTAGGGTGACGTCACACATTAATGTTTTTACATTATTTTTGCAATCTTTACTATTTAACTACTGTTATTATTAGATTGTAATGCATGAACATTTATACTAATTTATCATTTTCATTATCTTATTATTACCATTTTTACTGTTTTTATCTTACTTTTACCTTCAGTCTTACTACCAACAATGTTTTTATTATTATCATCATCATCATTATGTTTATTTATTATTTTTATTTATTCTTATTCATGTTTTTATTTTATTTCATTCTTATTTTCATTCTTATGTATAATTTTTATTACTATATTAATTTTATCATTGCATGTTTTATTATTAATATTATTAAGTTTATTAATAATATTATTTTATTGATTTTAATTTTTAAACTAAAATTAATAATTCTAATCTTCAATTGTAAATCTTAATCTGGGTCTAAGATGAAATCCAGATTAAACTACAATTCCTTTAAATAATTAACAACAATAATAATCCACTCTTAAAATAAAATATTAATCAAGCTGTGTTAACCCCAAAAATTTGCACCTGACAATTGCAAAAGCATGAAACTCCAAATTGTGCACTCGTTGTAAGATATTATATTTTTTAATATATTAAATAGTTTTGTTATTCAACATTGAGCACTGTTTTTTCTTACATTATAGAGTATATATATATATATATATATACACAAACACTTACTCATATATTTATCAATATTTATCCATTTGATTATATGCACATATAACAGAAGTTGTAGAGAGGAATGATTGTTTATATTTCAATGGGTTTCATCATTTAACAAGATACAAAGATTACCATGACTCATAAGAATGATATAACCTCAAAAGAGAAACAAGACATTATAAACTTATTGAATGGATGGATTCAACACTGGACGTTTGTGAAAAACGTTTAAAAAAGATCAGAGGACAATCAAAGAATATATTGAAAACAAAAACAAAGGGAAAAAACTGGTTTTAAAAATATTACAAAAAATAAATTAGAGAAAAAAATCAAAGGGTACTCAGCAAGAAAATTCAATTAACCAGTAAGAAAATATGTAAAGAAGCTGGTGTTACAAATGTAAACACAGAGAAAAAATACAGAATATTAAGAACATAGGCTAAAGACATGAAAGCTACCAAAGTGTCACCTTTCAGGAATCATCACCAAGAACAATATATAAATTTTGATAGATCCCCATTCTAGCCTCTCTAGAAATGAATCCTCAAGAAAAAAAATTGGTCCATCATGAAAACAGATGCATTGAAGAATAGAATACTGAAGTAAAGTCAATCTGTGGAAAGCAATAAAAACTGCTGAAGCCACGTTAAAGTTAAAACTAGAAAAGTTACAATCCATAAATAAATGTCTTATGAAGGTTATAGAATTTCATTAAGCTCATTGGTTTGTTTTTTTTAATTGCATATCAACTCTTTATGGGTCATTTAATGCTGATATTTAATTTTTGGGGGAGCTTTGGTAATTTTTTCCCCCCCAAAATGTATTGCTGGTAATTATTCTCTTCCTTTTGCAATAATGTATTGCTGGTGTTTTCTTCTTTTTACTATGAAAATGTATTGCTAGTATTCTTACTACAAAATATATACTTTCACAATGTTTTGACCCTAGTTTGGGGAATCAACTATTTTCGCATAGCTGGGACCCTAACAGGTGCTACCACCCTGGGTCAGGATTGACCTGAGAACAACAGCTATTAAGAAATGGTTCCACTCTCCTAAAAACCTCCCAATCATCAATCTGATGGATGTAGTTTATCATCATTCCAAGTACAATCAACAAGTCAATTTTAACATATTTAAATAATAAAAAATTTATTCAGGTATATAAGATATTGTCTTAATCAAATATATTTCTATAGCCTGCATTTGATGGTTTTATTTATAAATGAAAAAAAGATATTATGTAACATTTAGTTCTTTTTTTTTTAATCTTTCTTCACCCCAAGCATTGGTGATAAAAGCCATGAAGACACAGGGGGTTACTGAAAGTGAAACAAAGAGCTTGGTTTTAATCTCACCTTGATCAAAATATCATCATCCTAGGAAACAACGCTAACAGGCAGCACCATTAGGAAGTGCCTGAAAACTATACCATGAGCTGACCGAATAAAATAAGTGAATAAAATTAGGTAGACAAAACTGTTCAGAGTTGTCGATCATTGTCCTGGCAGAAAGTCAAAAGTCATTGTAACCGAAGGTTTGAGCATACTGATCTTGTTCAAAAATGTTGAACTCACAAGATTATATGCTTTATGGATGCAGGTTATCATGACTCTCCCCACCTTCTTGTCTTTTTATCTAAATGAAAATGTTGATGTATTTTTTTGATGTCTTCTGCATCTTCTTGAAAGAAACAGAAAGGAAGTTCACAACTGCTTCTTCTTATGTGACAATCCCTTTCTGGATATTAATGTGAGTATGTATAATATACTATATGCCATGTACTTTCAAGAAATTGGTGATCATGGCTCTCCACAATTTCCTTTCCTTTGTAGCTTTTAGTAAATTTTTTTTCATTTTGCTCTCTCCTAATACCTGTTCTGACAACCATTTGTACAAGCTCATGAGGGAGGTTATGCACGGTTTTTCTAAGTGCTCTTTTTATTTTCATTTTCTCTCTGTCATTGCTCATATGTTCAATCCATGGTATTCTCAGCATCCTTCTGCAGAACCCCATTTCTATCACCAAGTTTTTTCTTCATCTGTGCAAAGACTGTCCATCATGCACTGCTATATAGGAAAACTGATATTACATATATCAAAGATGAAACATTGGTTCTTGTATGATCACTGAAGTTAAGCAATGTCAAGCCTTGTTAGTACCTAGATGGGTGACTGCTTGGGAATACCAGGTGCTATAAACTTGGATGTGCAAAAGGTGTAATGAATAATGGTTCAGAATTGGAAATGGTAAAGCCAAGTTCTAATTCCAATCAGATTTGTTATACCCACTTACATACAAATGCCCTTGTGCAAGGTATGGAACCACCTATTCTTCCCCCTGGCTATAACTTTAGTCATAGAACTATATATATATATATATATATATATATATAAGTTTTACCAGTTAATGACTGAAAGGGATAATTCTAAGGAGGATATAAATCCAGAGAGAGCTCAATGTAGACTACAGAGCATTATAATGATAAGAAGACAATTATAATAGTCTTCTTATAGTTCTTATATATTATTCTTATTATTACTATATAATAGTAATGGCTGGCCACTTGTATCAGAGTTTGCCTGTTTCCCCGGGCAGATAGCCAAGCCCTAGACTCCTGCACAGGTACATTTGTTTTTGCTCAATACCCACAGAGCCCACCTGTGGTTTATACTGAAAATATCATGAACAGTCCTTAACTACAGCATCTGGGAGAGAGCACAGTACCTGGAGTGATGAACAGTCTGAACAAGGCCAGTACGCTCAAAGCCTCGGTCACAATGACTTGCAACTTCATGCTAGCTCAACCATCAATGGCTGTCAAGTCGTTTCATCTACCCAATTTCACTCACAAGGCTTGGGTCAACCCGGGTTAAAGTTCTCCAGCACTTTCCAAAGGTGACACATACTGGGTTTACCTCCGCAGGCTGATAACATCAAGAAGTTACCTTCCTGACAAACTCGGACCAAACTGAAATTCGAACTTAAATCTTATGGATGGTAAGTAAATACTCTAACCACTGAGCTACATATACACATGTTACTGAAGTTTTGAAAGTTGATTCTAACAGAAAAAAATTTAACCAACTTTATCAAGATGGTTGAAATAGTTGAGGATCTCTTTACTGTCCCGACCGATGATAATGAGATGATAGTATAAGAGTTTAAGCATTGAAAATATTCTTTGTTAGATTTTTTTCTTTGTTCTGAATGTAATTTGACTTCCTGCAGACAGATAAAAATAGAATTATCTCAAAGAGAAGAGAAACCATTGATTATTCTTCAGTAATTTGGAATGGGAGAGTGTGTTGAAACATTCAAGAAAGTTGTTTTATGCAGACATTGCACTCGTACACCCTTTTTGTGTTTAAACTTCATAACACTTCTATCTAGTAGAAAGTCAGTGGGTGCAGATGTGTGCTTTTTCTTGCAAGTGGAAAAATGGTTCATTAAAATCTTTATAAACTTTAAACAACCACAAAACTGAAAAGACAAACAATTTTTTTTTTTTTGTTAAGTCAGTGTTATTTCTAACTTGGAGTTTTATCTCCTATTTCTTATTTTATCTCTGTATCAAGAAGAGATTCAATATAAACGCAACATTTTTGCTGAGAATACCCTGGACCAAACATGTGAGAAGCAACAAAGTTTTATAGAAAACAGAAACAAAAAGGACACTTATACTTAACATCAGAAAGAGATAGTTGAAATTTCTAGGGTACATAATGAGGAACGAGGGCTTGGAAAATTTGATACTCACAAGACAGATTAAAGCATGCATAATTATACAGAATATGATTTCCTGAATAACACAAACTCTTCCGTTTGAATTTACATTCAGAGTATTATACACCATTTTGCTGTTATTATTACAATGTTTTGACCATTGTGAGCTCCAGACTTCTTCAACTGTTTGTCAATCCAGGTAAGTTTCAAGAAATTTCAGACTGAACCCCTTATTTTATCTGCAGGGGTAGATTGTCCTTCTTCTGCTGTTCATGTTTAGGGATTTTCTTCTTTTTCATACTGCTCAGTTATTGCTCGCCCTGTTTCCACTGTACTAACGAGCCTCAAGATTGAACTCACAATTACTATGCCTTAAAATATTTAACCCAGACTCTGGGAAAACAGAACTTGCAGTAAGTGAGCATCCCTAAAATAGAGCAAAAGATATCATTTTATTTGGACAGCAGGACAACAACACTCAGCCACCAGTAAATTAAATAATGGATTCAGTTTGAAATTACCTGAAAGTTACCTGGATCAGCATACACCTGAAGAAATCTAGAGGTTACAACAAAGAAATATTGTAGTAGCAACAACAAAGATAAGGAAAATAAACTGTTTTTTTTTTATCACTTCACCTGCAAGCAAGCCACTAAGGCATAAGGTGATACCAAGAATGAAAAACAATAAAGGAAACTAAGAAAATGTTACTGACGAGAAAGAACAAGAGAATACAGTTCAATAAGATGATGACAATTGATATTGTATTTAAATTTTTGAAGATTGTAGTTAGTAGAAAAGCATGAAAATGGAAGAGAGTTCTACAAGTCTGAAAGAAGAAACTATTAACATAGAACTCACAGTTACACTGTAATCGTTTCTTTTTACATGGTACGAACAACAAGGTATGATCCTTGACCTGATCTATGATCAAACGCTAATAAATTGCCTTTATGTTGCTAACAGATAACTGCTCTACTAAAGGGCACTTATATTTAGAATCTGAAAGGGACAGTTGAAATTTTGATGACACGTAATGAGCAAAGATTGTTTGGTTGATTTGTTCTATGGCATATCAACCTCAGTGGGTCATTTAATGCCAACAAAATTTTTGAAATAGATTCATAGCGATAGTTTGGTAAAAAAGGTGTGTATGTATACACATATATTTGAACCATTTTTCAGTTACTCATATTTTTGAGTACAATCACATTTATTGCTGGTAATATTTTTTTTTTTTTTTTCAAAAATGTATTGCTTGTAATAGATTTTTTTTTTCAAAAACATATTGCTGGCAATAGTTTTTTCTTCAAAAATTAATTTCTGGTAATAATTTTTTACAAAATAATTTTGGTATTAAAATCTATTTTTACACTTTTATAATGCTTTTGTTATAGACAAGCATATGGTTGCAAGAAAGAAATACGACAACAGCAGAAATAGATTTACGTGGTTTATTTCAACAGGAACGTGTGGGTTTGGGACAGCTACCTTGTGGTAAAGTTCATAAGCCGGCTTCAGATCTAGGTTGATCCCTCAAAGTAGTTCACACTTGTTGACGGTAGTTGACGCTCCCCTGCTGTCAGCAGCTGAACGTGACAGGTCTCTATCCTGGGCACCTGTGGACTGCCAGTTGAATTTCCGTGTGACCCCTTTTATAGCGTTGTTTTATGGCTTAACAGGCTCGAAAAATGAAGCGAGTATAATTCGGAGGGAAGCATTTTTATTGGATGAAAAATAGAACACTTTAAATATTATTTTATTTTTCGACTGGAACTCGAGTGTCGGGAATATTTGTAAATGAAGATAATGGTCATTTTGTGACGGGGTTTTGTCCAGTACACATCCGGCTCTCGCTCTTGCGTATATGCCTGTAAATCAGCCGAGATATGTCTTATTTTATTTTATAACCTTTTTTACCTCAGTTTCATGGTTAACTACTTGCTCATAGCTGGGACCGTAACAGGTGCTACCACCCAAAGTCAGGATGGACATGGGAACACTGGCAAATATGAGGTGGTTCCACACTACTCAAAACCTCTTTATCAGAGGCCTTGCTGTTGGACGTAGTTTGTCATCTTACCCTGGACATGGATGTAGTTTATCATTATGCCCAGGATGCGCAAAGATGGTTTGGAGAATAAGACATTGACAAGACCTACTGAGAAACAGAGGGAAGTGAGGAGTAACCTATCTCACAAGCTTATGCAAACAGGTAGGGATGGTGAAAAAGTAAACCTTACTAAAAGTTGGAAAGGATTGGAAGTTGTGGAGACCCATCATTAACTACCTTATGAATGGATATGGCACATAGATGATGATTTAGCCATAACTTGGGGAAGAAGTAGGTTTATGTGTTTCCCAAAGAAATCAGCGTGAATTGAATGCAAACAGTCCCAGCTAGGTTTTCACAAATTTTATCTCTGAGGCCACCAACCATGATACCATTAGCACCAAAGTAGCAATGCCTGAAACTTATAAACAAAAGAATTATATCAGGTCTGATTTATTTAAAAAAAGAAAAAAAAGGAATATCATATTTCAGCTTGTTCCTTAACTCATTAATTACACCTTGCTAATATCTCATATATAGATTTACCTATCACCAGGTTCACACTCCTCACTGGTCTTTTGAACAGGAGTAAAGGTTTATCCCATTTTTCCTGTTTAGGATTGGGTTTCTGCTTCCTTCAAAAGTAGGTACCATCACAAATGTGCAATACCTAAGATTTAAAATGAATTTTTTAAAATGATTTCTTGAAGCTTTTATTTTCGTTTTAATTTGAAACTAATAGATTATATTTAATATTTCCAATAAGCAAAATACTTCTCTGTATATCAAAATATAAACTGACTGGAATGAGTTTTCATTTTGAATTCAATAACATCACTGATTTTAGTGGCATTTTTAGTCATCTATCATCACAATGTAATTTTTGTTTAATAAAAAATCTTTCAAAAATAAAATATACTTTTCTGGAACTTTATTTGAGGAATATTAGTTTATTTAATTTTAATTAACCTGAATTCAAACAAATATTATTTCCTTTAACTTTAAAATATCGCAGAAATACATTTTTTAACACAGTGGCAGCTGTTGATATTAGGTTGTGACAGGTTAACAGCTTGAATGACAAATGTAAGTCTATCTAATTTTTTCTATGGTGGATATATCTGTAAAATTTACTTGAGGAATATAATGTAAGCACCATTTTATATAATTTTTTACCCAGTAATCTTCAAAAATTTATGAAAAATATTTTCCTTAATATAATGTTTTATTGAATTTTAGGTACTTTGGTTTTAAATTTACAAGAGTTATCTCACTTATTTTCTGATAATGTTGTGTATGGATGTCTGTATTTACAAATCAGTACATTTATTCAAATAATAAAAATTTCGAATTCTTTTTAAAATATTACTGCTCAATGAATTGTACTAAGCTTTTCTGATTAGTAAATATAGTTTTTA